GAAATCGATTTATGTTGATCATTGACTGGCCCTTCAGAATTGTCCGTTTCCACACCCGTACGTTCGTTTCAGTCATACGCCTTCGTGTTTTCGCGGCCCATTTTATCTAGTGAAATTCAATAAAAATATTTCCAAGCGAGGTTAAAGCTACCTACAAAAGTAACAGCAGCAACCAACGGGGACTTCGCTCGCAGGCAACAGCATAGCCCAAGCTAAGGTCGCGTTACAAGGATCGACACAAAGAAAGTATTTGTGATTGCCCGTGGAGGGTAATCTTCAAAAGCACACAGTGCGCCACTAAAATGTACGTCGTCGTATGGTGACATGGCAACGCTCGCGCAACTTGTGCTTATCCATACGCACGTGAAGAGACTTGCCCGCAAACTTAGATACGGCGTAGCCCACTAAACGTCCTACCTCGTTATACAGTATTTTATGCGAATTTGGTAAAAAGAAAATATTTGAAAGGTTATAATGTATTAATATCTTATGAGTCATACAATTATTGAGAAATTTTTCGATTCCTTGTTTATTAATAAATTGTAAATTTATCATATTCTTATTTGTCATTTTCTTCTTTACAGACAGCCTTTTAGAAGCTAAGACTAAAGAAAAAACAGCGTCTTGAGACGAGAGCTGTACGGATATTGACGCAAAGCACAATAAAACAAAATGAGAAGGATTTTGCTACGAATAAATCAAAACAGCGGATCCGTAAGCGTAAACGAGAAGAAGATTATGAATGCGAGAATGTATCTTGGACTAGGACTCTAATGCCGGTAAATCTAATGAAGATGAAAATGAATTTGATATACCAAGAAGCTCAGCAGATTCTATATTCGAATATAGTGAGTTTTTTCAGTTTACCTAATTATAAAGTTTATGGTTCTATTTTTTCTCTATGTCTTGTGTATGTAAAAATTTTTTTTGTTTTCAAAATTTACCGCTCTTAAAGATAACGAAATTTATTTCGATATTTTAAAAAAACTACATATTACTAAATAGAGTAAAATACAATTAAAAATAAAGTAATACTCGGATAATTAAAAAAAAGTAAAAAACACTAGATGAAAAGAATGCACTTAATACTAACAGTTTCGTGCTAAAATTATGTTTTTATTTCAACTTTAATGGCTGAACTATCTATAACGTAAGCAGCAATAAAAAAATTTGAATCAAGTGATGACGAAGTTACAGACAAGCAGACTGAAAAATTAATGAACAAAGTATTTCAAGATTTGAAAGCTAAAGATTAAAATAAAATATATCTTGTAATTATCGATTCATTTTTATTTGGAAGTTAGTTTACGATTTCGCAAAACGAGATGCGAAAGATTTTTTGATAATAGTTGATGTAACTAATTAGAATAACAAAACAAATACCTTTTCACAATCTTTAGAAGAACGTGGTTTGAATGGCAGTAACTCATCATTTTGTGTTAAAGATGATGATATTAATGAAATACGTAGTAAGTTTGAAAAGAAAGTTCTTTTATAAAAAAGGAAAATTACTTGGCAATGTTACTATTATTAAATTAAATGATTATACAGCGTAATTCATTGAAATTTTATGAAACTTATAGTTGTCAAACGCACAGCAAACATTTATTTTTCTTCTTCCTCCATTGTTGTATATTTACTTTTAGTAAATAGAAATTACTATAACTTATACCAATTACACACAATATCGGTGCCCGAGTTACCAATCTCAGCTGAAAAATCAAGATACATAATAGTCCAGGCAATAGAGCCCGAAAAAGAGCGTTTCGCATACTTTCTTCCGGAAAGCACGAAATTTTTACTGTGGATAGCTGACAATGAGTGTAATAACATATCTTCATCCAAAGTCTGAAATCGGTGCAGAACATTGTTAACCAGCCGTTTGAATAATCGAAAATTGGAATTTAAGCAAAAAAAATTTGGGAAATGCTTGGAAATATATAATATTTTGTTGCCAGCAGAAAAATAAGACCTTTGTCATTCAAAACCAAATGAATTGCCAACATTTAGTTTATTACTAAATTTAAAACAGGTGACAATTACTAACAAATTAAAAATAAATTATAGTTATTGTAAATTTAAATGTTAAGAACCTATGATTTTTATACAAATGAATTATGGCTTTCGCTACAATAATTTTGTATTAAAAAGACCATATTCAGATTTCTCAATAAGTAGTATAAAATTTTAAAAAATGAATTAATCATCTTCTTTAGATTGGGAGAAAAGTATTGTTAAAGTCGCGCCATGCGTTTTGAAGACACTTAGCGAATTTTTAAGCGATCCAAATAGAGGCGGTCGACTTCCCCCATCACTCCACGGCGCTAAAAGATTGAAAAAACCATTGATTCTATTTACGTTCGATCGCGAATTTAATGTATGTACAATTGAAGCAAAGTCTAGATATTTCACAGTTAAAAGAACCTTGGCTTTCCGCTTCGGATCGCTTAAAAAATTTTTTGTTATTTATATTAATCTTTTAACAACAGGTCGAAAGCTTTAACAACCTATAACTTTTTCATTAATTGACGAATTTTTATGTGGTGTTTTTTAAATTGAAGCTCTTTTGACCATCTACCGATATACATTGTAAAACACCAGAAATGTCTTATAATACGCGGTTAATTTCATTTTGCAACCAAGCAATATTTTAGAATAAATTCCCTGAATCGTAAATTAAATGTTTTTTTTGTTTAAATTGCAGTTTTCGATTATAAACTCTAACAAGTACCGATACAAAAATCAGCTTCACTTATCTTAACAATTCGGACTGTGGACAAAACGAAATAGTTCATTTGTTAACCGTCTGTATAGATTGCAATTAACATTAGAGCTTACGGCTTCATTATCTTTACATAATAAGAACTACAATGAGGTACATGGAAAATCTCTATGATCAAATATTGAACGGTAATTTGTGACGAGAGCGGGCCGTGTGCCGGTCTCTCGTCCGCGTTTCTCCCTCCCCCACTCGGCTAGGCGTGGTGGCCAACGTTGGGCGCATTTAAGTATGCGCCTAACACTTGGTCTTTTGTTTCAGCGCCAAGGACGAGCCAGCGCAGTTGAGCGCAAGAAAAGTTGAAGAGCGCGGAGAGAGAGTGAGAAAGAGAGAGAGAGAGAGAGAGAGAGAGAGAGAGTATTAGGCCCATGCAGGGATTGGCAGGCGCGCAACGCGTGACCGATAAGCGACGCGTCGCGTGTCGCCTAACTAATAGGTCAAGGTAGGGAGAGGAGCGAGCGCCGCTGAGCGGCTGCAAGATGCGCGCAAGAATTAGTGCGTGAGGAGAGTCGCAGCCGAGTCCTACTAGAGTGAGGGAGTCGAAGCCTAGTCCTACTAGAGTGCGGAAGTCCGAGCCCAGCAGAGAGAGCAGTTTGGGATAGCCGGAAGGAAGGAAGATCAACCCTACCGGCAACGGCTTTGCCAGCAACTGCAGCCAGCCCACCTGCTAGGAGAGTCAACGTCGCCTACGGATACCTGATCAGCGACAGTGGTTAGCGACGATCTGACCAGCGACGACACCCGGTACTTCCTGCGGCAGCGTATCGCTCAGGATTCTCGACGTTGCGAGGAACAAGAGATAAAAGGTCAAGCCTTCCTTTTCTTCTTTCTCTCTACACTCTCTCTCTCTCTCTGTTGATGCGACGACCGGTGCGCGTTGAAAGAGATAGCCTGGCACTCACGTGCCGGCTATCTGAAGGTTCGCGCTAGGTTTAATTCATAGTGACGTAAGCTGCGACCAGTGAATTGTCCAGGCGCCTACGTGCCGGGCAATTTACCCGGTATTAGTTCGCGTAGTTTTAAGTAAGTTTGTAATAGGTTAAGTACGCGATTAGGTATTAGTGAAATGCGAAATGATCATTTGTGATTATCTTAAGTAGTTTATTGTTCTATTTGTAGTTTGTTGGTCGGTAATTTAGATTATGTTATGCGCGCGTATGTTCAGTGTGAATAATTATTAATAATAATAGGTTGTAAGTGAGATTTGATTCCTGTCTTTGTATAATTTATTTATCAACCTCCCCTCGTTCTTCTCCCTCAATTATCATGAGCGAAAGTGCCTCACTTACCCCGCAAAAGAATTGGTAACAAAGGAACGAGTTTTGTTACAAATTATTAAATAAACAATTGGCCTTTTTGTGTTAATAACTTTTCATCTAATTAACATGTATTAACGTGCGACATATGCTTCTGTAGGTCTTGCCGAGGCGAACAAAAAACTATTCAACTATTTTTCGATTCAACTGCTAGGAAAAAAGATATTACACGAAAACATGAAAATAGATCAAATTTTTTTTTCAAACGGCTGGTTAACCCTTTGTTGCATATATTTTTCTGTTCAGTGTTTTTACTTGAAAATTCCTACTCGGGAGTTTTTGGGATCGCTGATCACGAATCTGAAGTCATAATTTTGAAATTTTTAATTCAAGATGGCGAATTGAAAATGGCGGTACCAAAATTTCAAAAAAATAGATGTATCTACTTAAAAATCGTTACTAAGGAGTTTTCGGGGTCGCTGATCACGAATATGAAGTCGGAATGCAGAAATTATTGATTCAAAATGACGGATTCAAGATGGCGGCTCGGGAATTTTTGATAAATTAGATGTATAAGCTTAAAAATCACTACCCAAGGGTTTTTGCGGTTGCTGATTACGAATCTGTTAATTTTTTTTATAGTTCATCATTGTAGATCTAATATGACGAATACTACGACATAAACAGTGGTTAAAATATTGGGGACTTTCGAAAATTTACTCTTTTTTTTGCGTAACCCAGAGCTAACGACGAGGACGTAAAAGAGTACTAGCTCCATTTTTTTTGTTTTTTGTTTTTTTTTTTGTTTTTTTTTTAGTTTTTTTTATTCTTTTTTTAGTATTTTAGTAGTAATTTAGTAATTTTTTTAGTATTTTATTCAGTTTTTAGATTATTCAAACTATTTTTTATGTATTTTCTTTTGATTTTGCCCATGAAGTTATGATAAAGTAAGCATTATTCTTTACCTAAGTGTGGTAATTTTGGAAACAATTTCTATCTTGCAAAAGACACAATGGTACATCGCAAGTCATACATTTCCACTTTGTTCTCCTTTGATCCTTTCTTGTACTGCAATGAACACATCGTTTTGCGCTTTGAATAGAAACAGACATATGAGCTGCTTGATTGCGTCTTTTCTCTAAAGAAACTTGTGGTTTCTGGTAACGAAAATCTTCCGAATGGTCAGATTTGCGCTTTCGACCTTTGGCAGTTGGAATTTTATGTCCTACCATTTGTTCTACTAAATTTAATCGAAATTTTTTTAAATTCAACGTTGGTTTTATATGTTTTTCTCTGTACAAAATATTTGCATTACTTATTGTTAGATTGAGAAAATGCCAAAATATTCTAAACCACCACTTTTTAGATTTACGATCAATTTTATAAACTGAAATAAGTCGATCAGCATAATCTACATAAACCATGTGCTTATTATAATCTGAAGAAATAACAGGACAATTGACACATTTTAGAGAGCCATCTTTTTGTCTACGATTTACGGTAGTAACTTCAGATGCATCGTGAAAGTTGGATAGAAAATAAACTGGTTTCTTATCCATCCACTTGATCCAGGTAAGACCTGCCTTGGTAGTCATAAATTCATATTCTCCTATGTCCATTTTTTTTTTTTTGATTTTTTATCATTGATATTCGTTGGTAGACCAGAACGATTCTGCCGCACCATGCCACATGCGTTTATTTTATCTTCTTTCAGTGATGAAAGAAGTTCCACCCCAGTAAAAAAATTATCGAAATATACGTGATGATTGCCATCAACAAGTTCTCGTGTAAGGTCTTTTACAACTCTTGTTCCCAATTGTTTTTCAGTGTTGTCTGCTTTTCCAGTATAGATTTGAAACTGGCATACGTAACCAGACTCATCTGCGCGAGTCCAGCACTTATATCCGCGCTTTATAGGTTTAGCTGGCATGTATTGTTTCATAGTACTTCTTCCCTTGAATTTTATCATATAGACTCATCTACAGATTGGTGCTTACCAGGATTGAAACTTTCTTTGAAGGTTCGAGAAAGCTCGTCTAAAAGTGGTCTTACCTTATACAGTTTATCATCATTTGGATCACCTTTCTTTGGTTCTTTAGAGTTGTCGTTGACATGTATATGAGGCAGAAAAAAACTAAAACGATTAACAGTCATGAGAGATGATATGTAAGAATCACGTACCTGAGGGTTTTCACTCCAATAATCTCGGTAAGATGGCAATTTTTTTATACCCATCAGAATGTTAATGCCTAAAAATATTTTTAATTCTTCTTTTGTGATGGGATCTTGCTTACCCATTTTTTGAGAAATGTACGGATTAATTTGATGTACAATATGATCCAATAGATCAGAAGAAAATAAACAAGAGAATATGTCTAATGGTGATTTCGCTGTATCTGGAATGTTTGGACCAAAGCTTTTAGAAAACATAAAATCCGATCTTGGCCGACTAACAGACTCCCAAATATCAGATTGATTTGAATCATCAATGTCTTCTGCGTCCATTGATTCTTCTTCGTCATCGTTATTATTTACAGTAGAAACATTTTCGTCTACAAGTGATCTTGAGTTCACAACGTCTTCTTCGTTGTCAGAATCTTGTAGCCCATCAACCGATTCAAAATCGCTAGGAATTTCGGTTGTAACAACATTTTTTTTTCTCCCCATATTTATAACTTTTTGTAACTTTGAATACTTTCAATGTGCAAAAAGTAACTTTTATAAAAAAAATATAAGCTCACGAAGTCATGTAAAAATATAAAATTAGTATTAGTTTCGATCAATAGCATTTGCAATGAAAAGTCAGAATTTTTGACAATATTTCAGGATTGTAAAAAAAAGTTATTATGTATATTTCCTATTCATAATAAAAAAGAGTTGTGATAAAAACAAAAAATTACCTCGAAATATATCACCTCATCTACGATTTCAACGATTTATATGTAAACCTAAACTACATATAATTTTTATCTCGATTTTTATAAAGTGATTTTGAATTGGATTCAACAACAAGTAATGATTTATGAGCTGTTTTTAAAATTTTGATACTACCATCTTAGATCCGCGATTTTAAATTGAAAATTTGACAATTTTGATGTTAGATTTATGATCGGCAATCTTAAAAACCCCAAGTAGAGATTTTCAAGTTGATACATTTATTTTCTTTAAATTTCTGCCGCCATCTTAAATACGCCATTTTGAATTGAAAACTTCGGAATTCCGACTTTATTTTTGTAATCAGCGACCCCAAAACCCCCGAGTAGAGATTTTTAAGCTGATATATCTCTTTTTTTCAAAATTTTGGAACTGCCATCTTGAATACGCCATTTTGAATTGAAAATTTTTTGATTTAAACTTCATATTCGTAATCAGCGACCTCGAAAACCCCCGAGTACAGATTTTCAAGTTAATACACTGATTATGTTTTTCAATAATGAATTTCTCCAAAAAAAAATGACATTTTTTCATGTTTGTTAATTTATATAACAATTATAATAAACAATTTTGCCAAATAAACCATTTTCCTATGTTCTCTTACAAATAAATTAGTATATGAACCAAAAAAACCGGATGTCAATACGTTAACAATTGATTAAATAGCAAAAATGTGAAGTCAAGATGGTGGTAACCCACGTTACCACAGTGCAACAAAGGGTTAACAATGTTCTGCACCGATTTCAGACTTTGGATGAAGATATGTTATTACACTCATTATCAGCTATCCACAGTAAAAATTTCGTGCTTTCCGGAAAAAAGTACGCGAAAAATGCTCTATTGCCTGGACTATAAAGCTTTAACCTTGGACTAATAACAACATATCCAAATGGATCACCATGCTATAGTGAGTTGCCCAAAAACTCATTAAGCCTTTGAATGTTCTGTAAAAGAACCCTTGTAAAAATCAGAAAAATAACGAATTAATATTATATATCGGTGGATGGATTAAATGGACTAAATAATAAATATACAGGGAATAGGAATATTAAAAATTACACCAGGTTGTATTGAACATATGAATTATGCAACCCTGTTGAAAGAATCTCGATATAGGATAGAAATGAAAAAATGGACCCCGCAATCAGAAACTTGAACAAATCAAGGGAAAATGCTAAATGATATAATAGAAAAGGTGGAAATGATAAGACAACATAAAAAAAATTACCGCGTATCATTCTAAATTAATATATGGAGGTCTAAGTATCAATTTTATAATAATCATGCTGACTTTTATAATTGCTTATAAATTGTACGAGAACCATAAAGACTCACCGTAGTTCAAAATCTCACTGTAGTTCATCTACGATATTACATATTTCTAAACGAATCTCTAATAATACTTCCAAAAATTTCTCTCCAAAGAAAGAACATAATAGGGCAGACGAAATATCTACACTCTCAATTAAAGCGGCGGAATGTATCTAATCTTATCATGATTAACATTTATCGTCTGAAAACATGGCAATTATCCTTAATACGAACATTCACGGAATCTACTAATAATATGTTTTGTAACGGGGTGGATACCGTTTAATTATTTTTATTCGCGCGTATTCATTAGTGGGCGAATGTAATCATCTATGCTCAATACACAATCCGGAGAGCATGGGGAAACAGGTGTCAGTCAACCAGTAAATCTGCTAATCTACGAGAAAGTGAGTGGAAGCAATATGGAATGAGCGAGTCGAAAGCACTTGTTAATGTCACGAATAGAATCTTTTATTATCTGTCAAATGCTACATAAGGTCGGCCCGCGTGTTTGTTTACATCGACGCTCGCACGACGACAACATGCAGTGTCGGAACGCTCGCTGCTCTTTGTTGGAAGAGCTATTACATGCACGCTTGAGATGTCGGAAAATTAATCGTTATGTACGCAATTATATCGCGACCGCGAGATTAAGCTGGCCAGCTTACCTTAATATCGCAGGCGTACGAAGATGGCACTAATAAGTCACACTGCGAGGGAACTGTTTTGCTTTTGTCAATGCCGCGGATCGCGAATTCACTCGCACGCGGCTTCGCCCTCGATGGCGAAACCTCACACACACTCAGCCGGTCTCGTGAAAGGCGATATTTCTCCACCGGGTCGTCTTTCTAGGTTACTGGCGCGTACTATCTCCTTCTTATTTCCGGTATCGGTAGCTCACTAATCGGTGGTATTTTTAACAAACGGACGAGCACGTTGATAGAAGGATCCTCACTCACTTTCTTGCGTGATGGTGGTCAATGCTTCACTGTATGACTCGGTCTCTAGCTCACGTATCAGTAATCGGCGTTGTAGTTGCGGGTGAGCATGATGATGACCAGTGCTTCACTATTTCAATTTTAATCACGCGCGTTCCGTCTGCTCGCGTGCCGAATTCCTTTGTTACGTTTTTCGTCTCCCCGGTAGGTGGTGCCCCCGCAGGCAGCAATTAGGTTATATTATTAGCGCTAATTTGACGTTTACCGTCACAATTTCAACGAATTTATTTGTAATAACGAAATGGCAAATTGCACAATACAGTTTCACTCTCTAGAAAACGTCACAAGTAATACTTGAAAAATTGTTCTATACAGATTTGCTCAAATTGATCATGCTAAGGAAGCCAGAAAAATTAAGAAATGGATCGCTACTACATTAGCCACGGAACGATCACGTCAAGAAAGAACAAGAATATTTAAAAAAACTCCACCCAGAGGCACCGACCAAACGAGATTATTCTGCAGACTACCATGGAGTATAGGAGAAAAATACAGAGATACTTCTTTCTTTAAACATTTCGTGAAATTAGGCCCCTTACTATACCATAAGATGATCGTGGATCTTAAAAGGTCATTATCTATTGGATATATCCAATATTACCACATCACTAACGAAGTCAGAGTGCTAAAAGAATGTGAAGTGCTGTTTATTTAAATATCGCATGAGATGTAATGCTCAACTTGGCGAAGTAGTTGAGTCTTTTTATCAATGAAGTGGGCGCACCAATCTTATGTTCAAACGCGACCGTCTTTGTCATCGCATCTCTTAGTGTAAAAAGATTCTTTGAGTGTACTTGACGTTCTATTGGATAGAGCAGATCAAATAATAGTTTTCGAATGCATCTTTATTTGCCTTGTGTTTAATTACTTTTTTTTATGATCTAGGCTTATATCTTTATTATAAACGTTTATTAATCTATTGTGTAGCATCCGTACTCTCAGACCTTGGTTGTCTACGCTATCACCTACGTTTTGTTTTATTATATTTCATTCGGCTGATGCTGCATCAGCATCTTTTTGGCAGCTGTACTGTTATTGTGACCTTTCGGGTAAGTCGGAATATTTTAAACCGAATAATAATTGCTTATCGCAAAAAGTTATAAGGAAAATCAATTGAGTTTTCGTTGTGCGCACGAATAGCCTTGTCGTAACGCCGCGGGACTTCTCAACTGATTTACGGAAAGGAATATTTTTAGGTTTTATTTATTGGGCTCGTTCGTTCAACCGATCAAGGAAGCTCGGCGGAGTACCAATATCCTAGCTACGAGTACCTCCACTTTGGCTGAAAAGGAAATGGTTCACGATTCTTGCGTGGTTTCTCTCGGTGACTAGGTAAATTAGCCACTAGCGGAAACAGTCACATCAAGCAATTCGAATAGCCAGAGTAAGAGTGTACGTCCAAGCTTGCTCGCACTTATATATACGTTTTTCATACACTCGTCTCATTTACATTTATATTTAATCCTATTTCTAAGCCTATTAATACCAACTTCCCTAGTCTTGTTAATCCTTTAATCCGCAGATCATTGTATTTGATCTCGGCTTTTGTGTACATCACATTTTAAAGTTGTTTAAGAATTTTTTTACTAATCTGTATTGTGATAATTGGGGCATGTATCCATATGCAACTCGTTCTCTTAACTTTGACACATGATTCAAGGCTATTTAGTACCGCATTTTTGAAATTAGGACCATGAGTGTGGACTATATCGCGTACGATGTTACAACATATCCACTGTCATCAAAGAGCGGTATTGTAATTATTATCTGATACAGCAGTAGCGTAAACTGATTTGGTCTAGAGTCTTTGCTTATATCTGCTACATTTATGTATCTGACTGCTACTTGCTTTTCTGGTTGTTGTTATCGCTGCTGTTGTTGATTATTATCGTAATCTGCCTATATATCTATACCGTTATGCAGTATTGGATTGTACGTGGACATCTGGTATCGATATCCAACCGAGTATTTTGACATTGGCGGTCGACCGTTTACAGTAGCTTGCGTATACTGATTCATTCTCGGTATGACTTGTACTGTCACAAAATTACTATATTACATTTGATTGTCTAGGAAGGATTTTCTGTTAATAATTTGGCACTGTTAATTGCTTATTTGGAATCGCATGTGTGTACTAATTTAGATGCGGTATGACTTGTTTTGTCATAAAATGATCCGCTTCTGTCTGATTCTCTGTATTTTAGTTTTCGCGGTGACTCCCCTGTGTTATTCTCTCAACCTTTCAGTAATTTTCCATTAAAAATTAAAGTAAATCAAATTGAACCTTAACTTGAATGCTAAGGAAAAAGAATTCAAAACTATTGAAGCATTGAAATATTAAATTGCTTGGGTCATGAGAAAAAATAAATTATTGAAAGAAATAATAGAGCTCTAGGAGACTTAGTAGGAAAAAGCCAAGGCTTT